GCGGACAGGTAAATAACTCCCGAGGGAGAGCGACCTGTCGATGTTATATTCGAGTTCACACCGGAGGCAGTATTGCATCTACGCAGATAGTCGTTGGACGCAATCTGATATACATAAAATCGCTGCTCCGCGGTGTGAAGAAATTCCCCTAGGCAGATGCAATGTCGTGCCGTATACGAGTTCGGAGGCGGGACATTGGATATCTGCCATTGCTGCTCCGTAATCGCCATGTCGTCTCCAGCAAATGCCATCTTTCTGCGAACCGAGTGGAGAGGAGTCTTAAGGACTGTGAGAAAGACGGAGTGATACATATAGCAAGTAAACTGTCAAACTCACGCTTAGCGAAAACTAAGTTGTCCAGTGCCAGTCGGCGAGGTTTTGCCGTGACTGGGGATCTACAGGTGACGATGTGGCTTACCACATAAATAATCACCAGTTAAATCTCGTCGGTTTCGTTACTTCGGGGAATTTATCGAATATAACATGAAATAAATAGTAATGCAAAAAATATACATATTAATGATTCGGTACATATTTGTTTGCGTGTTAAAAACCATGGATTTTAATATTCGACGAAGTATCGAATAAAGCAGCCTACGTGAATCGAGTAGCAATTCATAGTGCTGTGAGGGATCGATACCGAGTGTGGCTATGGTAACATCAGAAGGGATGAACGTCCATAGATACTGTCGTCGGATATTCAGGTTGATAGTTAGCTGTCCTGTACCGTAGGTAGGAATGACAGAGTCATTCGCAGCGCGTGGTCGAAGCATCGTAGCGTATGACTTACTGCTACCAAACGATACGACAGACACTAGGGCACTTGTGGCCACCAAGTGTAGAATCTTTTTTGAATGTTTTTTTCGGAAAATCCCTCCATGTATATATATTTGTGTTATGATATGACTGACTCTTTCTGTTGACATTTTGGTACTCCATTTGATTCCATTTTGAGATTTTATCATTGTATATTGTTATTATTTCTATATTTTGTACTTATATTGAAGTTTTTATGTTTGCTTCTGAACTGTATATATGTTGTTTAAATTTGATCTTTAATATGGCTACAGCCATATTTGGATTTGATACCGAGGCAGTTAATACTAGTATCACTTATTCTTTTGGATTTGGATACCCTTCAGGGTAATTTAGACTTGGAAGGTGCATTAATTGTCAGGTAAATGTTTGTATTTCCATTTTACTATAAAAATAGACCACTTTCTCCTAGAATTGTTGTGTTTTGATATTGGACTAGGGGTTAGCGCGTTCGACCTACACCTACTGGAATCAAAGTGAACTGCTACGGTAGAAAATTCAACTACACCAAGTACCTAGAGCACGTAAAATAAACTAACAACCCGGAGTGACGGAGAGGAAACAGGTTAACATGCAATGACCTGCATCTCGGAGTCTATTATTATAGCTATCTACCATTTCGAAAAGTTGTTGCAAGTATAAAATATGTTAAAGACATTATTAATAGTATTGAAACATTATAAAAATGGTGATAGATGAATAATAGACTCACCGTTATTGACTTCTTTTGAAGAAACGTCCGTCTCACCAATTGTTGCGAGCGAATCAAGATACCAAATTTACTATGCTCACCACTAAATGTTCCATACGGTCGCGTCACGGAAAGCAGAACAAAATAAATCCATATTCCATGGTTTTATTGAAGGAGAATGTTGGCATTACATGAGGAGCAGCAAATAGAGAATGATGGCGGCAACGCGAAGAGAACGTTGCGCGCAAGAAGTCGAAGAAGTGTTTTTGGTACAGTTAGACAAAACGAGTACAATAATGTTTATTTTTCACAAATCGTATTTTCTTCGTAGAAGCGTTCCACTACAGATCTATGACAAATTTTGTCTTGGCATAAGTTTTCTTTACACAATCTTTCGGTTCTCTCATGTTTTATTAAGTTGATACAACGTTTTCTGTGCCACATATTACATGAAGAGGCAACATGTTGGTATTACTCTATCTCGACTATTACGGTTTGAAAATGATCGTATATTGCATATTTTTCTTTGCTAACCCCGATTCATCTTTATTAACTCCACCTGAAACCGTTCTGGGGTTACTGCCGATCACGAGGAAAAGAGGAGGGTTGCACATGGTATCAGCGCCCACATCCAAATGAGTAAATGGCTAAAAACGCTAACCAGAAAATCCTTCTTCATTGGGCCCTCGGGGAAAAGTTTTTCTTTGTTGTAGAGAGCTCTGAAGATAATTGATAAGTAATGTGATGAGATTTTAGATACCGCTTTAAATATAATGGTGGACAGGTAGTTGAAATATTACAACTACTGTAAGGGGTTTTTTAATTATATACTGACCATGCATTCCGTCCATTTCTTTCTGTGTGTATATTTTCATGGAGCGCAGGATGCAGTTTCATTGAAATTCACCGATGCAAATGAAGCGCAAAATCTCTACAACACCTTATCTAGTACTGAACATACTGTAAAAGCTGACCGGAAACAGATTGCTCAGTCACTGTCGTATAAAATTTCACTAATATTCCATTTAATTCCGTACGATGTCATCTCTGCATGTATGTAAGTATTTATATTTCTCTATGCCGTGTACAAGAACGGTTAAAGTAACTTGATAAAATGTTCTAATGCATGCAGAAAATTCTGTTTTATATTAAACGCGTAACACTGAATAAAATCATGTTATCATTATTCATCTTGGTCAGAAGTATTATCCCATCTCTTTACAGGTTTTTAAATTGAAATAAGAATATGCTGTGGGAGGCATTTTAGTGTAATTATTTCTTATTTTATGCGGTACGATTCGATTGCCCACGCTCATAATGTGGCCACAAAGAGAAACTGACATTGTGATAAACAACGTTCCCTTGATAACGAGTGGTAATAATAAATTATAAATAGATAATAATGAAGAATGATCGATACTGAGCAGAACAAAGCTGTAATACCATTGTTCAAATAAAATACAGGGGTGAAGAAAATTTAACTTCAATCAAGTGCAGATTAACTGTTGGTTTGAAAAAACAAGGGAATAACAAGTGTAATGAATTCAATCAAATGAGAATTGATGAAAAGCAACAAAAAATAAGTGAACGAAACAACATTTAAGAGTGCATGGATGACTAGCGAGCATAAGAGCAAACAAATAATCTCCAGAAAATTTGCAAAACAGGAATGATGTGAAATATTTGCCTCAATATACCGGCACTTAAATTGTATGTTTAACGAAAATAAGTTATATTTTCACGCTCATCAGACACCAATATGTCATTAACTGTTAGGTCGGTTACAGATCCTTATCATTAGCTTTGGTTCACAATGATCTAGGAGTCATAGTCAGCAGTGGCTTACTACCATTCACTCACAGGTAAATTTCTCGAAACAGCGAGGTATTAAGACGAACGTTCATAAGATTAGTTATGAATGCGTTGTCCATGGTTCGCGGAGTCCCAAAGTGACCCAAATTAGAGAGGACCAGTGTTTTCCGCTTAAGAAAACAGATGTTTAACCTATTTTGAGAAGTTTGTGAATGTCACAACTACGGAAATATAGAAGTGATGGCCCTATACTAGTTTATCGGATTAAACATAATACAAACCAGAATCGTAAGGAAGTGAACAGACTTTGTTTTACTCTGCTTTCAAGCTATGTATTCTCCTGTCTATCTGCACGAATGACTGCTTTAAATAAACCCATCCAACCTAATCCGTATTTGGCTTCTAATTACCACCGTCTCACAATTATGATACACGGAAACTGAAGGGGAAGGTATACTTCATAGGATACTCGGATGTTCATAAATAAAGGCATCAGCTAACGACACATAAAAGAGCTGAGTACAGATCCACCGCAGAATTGGTGAGCCTGACGAAGAACATAACGCACCTACATAAATCGGTGAGGGTTAGAACGCAACGCACTTACACTACGTGCTGACTAAAATTGGAGTACAGTTGCACTCGTGTATAAAACAGAAATGTTCTATAAATTTTAGCGGGCAACGCTTTACGAGAATGTTGATTGATGCGATAGCTTTTGTGAGTTTAGAAATTTAGGGTTTTAATTTAACTTTGTTTTATCATGTTGTTTAACTAACTTAGCTAACTAAATGTACTAACACATATACATCAACTAAAAAGCGAAAAACAGAGGCAAAAGAGATGGTATTCAGAAGCGTAAAGAGTATCACAATACCAACGAAAAAGGTTTACAACTGATTGATTACTGATAAGTGACTGATTTCAAATATGTCATGTCTTTCTTTAATGCTGATCTAACACCACCGACTATGCGACAGTGCGGTGACTGGTCTAGGTAGATAAACTTTGTGTGAACCATGTCAAGGTGTAAGACGGTGGTACATCATGTACGTTAAATATATGTCAAACCACTTAGATTAACAACCACATTGCAACTTCGTCAAATGAATTCCGTCAGAACTAAGTAATACTTGACAGTGGTCGATCTAATGTAAACACATCTCAGTTTTACAGAATGTCAGTTGCGACACGAATAGATATGTGGTGACATCCCTGAATGTGGATCTGAGAGACAAGGGATCGAATCTGTCACCTAAAATCAGTTTTATCAAGATTACTACAACCTTACGAAACGATACAGATATAGAGTAAGAGTTTTGAGGCATACTCCAGTCGTATATCTAGCTATCCTCCTTAGGTCTATAGTGAAACTTAGCATAAATATGTTTTACAGGATACTCAAGAACATTTAGGACGTTACGATTCATTAGAATCTCATCACTGAGTTGGCCGTACATCAAAGGATAGTGACCCTGTGATTTAAGACATTCCTAGTAAGATTTAAATTCGAGCCCCTGAACTAATTTCTCGACTCGTCTTTGAATATGTTCCAGAGAAGTAGCAGTATATTTCCTTAATATAAATGGAGTCAAAAAAACCGTTAAATATTACAAGAAAAGGTGTGCTGTATAATTGAGTTTGCTAATTTGTATTTGTTTATTTACATAGTTAAGGTTGCTTCGCATTCGAATAATCTAGGCATGTTGAGTAATAAGGAGCAAGTTGACAGACATGTCTTTCATCTCCTTGCTAAATGCTGTAATGTGAATGAGGTGATAATATGTTTTCATCTTTACTTGTGTTTAGAGGAAATCGAAAGCTCTTGAGATAGCCAAACTTTACTATGGTGTCAGTGAATTCGCGACTGCTAAGAGGTCAGTAGATTTGTTACCAACTATTTCTGTAGTTATGTTGAAGGGTATTTAGAGTTGAGGCCAGATTCTATACCTGCCTATTCTCTTTTGGCGAAAATACAAGAAGATTTAGATGATTTACCGGGGGCTCTGGCAACCTACAGATCTCTTCGGAAGTTGACCGATCTCGACAAAAACACTGCATTGCGTGGTACGTGTTTCACTTTTGCTTATTGATCTTAAGCTTGTTTCTTGGCCCATGAGTCGCAAGATTTGTCGGAAGTTCAGGTATTTCCTTTGATATTTTTAACTGTTTAGTTCTGGTCTGATATAGCACAAGACATGTTTCCTTCTGAAAAAATAGCGTTTCTGTTAAAAGTATTTGTGATTACAACAAATATATGTCTCTAGGAAAAGGTCTTGTCATGTGGCGAAAGGGTCCCGGAGTTGTTAAAACTTCTGCAATCTCACTTGGTATGCTGTGTTCGTCCATTCATTATTTTTCTAGGAGAAAGATGAGAGTGATTCCGAAGTTTGTATTCGTCTAACAAACTTGCTTTACAAGTCGGGGTCTATTATGAATGCATTTTCACGCTGCTTGCATTGCATCAATTGTGGGTGGCATTTCGGTACTGCTAGCTGGTTCCACAACTGCCTGAATCTTCTTGAAGTAAGTGCTCTCGTTGTTCATAAGTCACATTTAGCCTGCAAAACTTTCCGATTCTAAAACTAAATTACCTATGGAGTCGTTGCATTTGGTTCGTGTGGTTTGTTTGATGGAGTTGCTACGTGTGACTTCGCAAACCTCCTGTTTGTCAGATATGTATCGACTACTCATCCAACTAGAAGCAGTTTCTAGTGAACTTAGTAGATTGCATTCTAAAAGTTTAAAGGCTCTTCATGGATTTTCTGTTATTTGGCTGAATTTCTATGGTGGCGTCTACGCTCAACGACGTTGTATAAATGAATTTACTCAGGTTAGTTTTTACGAAATCTACCAAGTCATTAAACTTTTTTCCTCATGTTAGCGTATACGGTTATTTCTTAGGTTTGCTAGTAATAATTAGTTGTCAGGTGTCTTGTAATAATTTTTTACGAAGTATCCACTTAAGAGGATGTAACACTGGTTTATTTCTGTTTCAAAGCTATTAGATTATGCTTGTACTAAATGTTTAGTTAGTTAACGTTTATAGTTTGTGTTGACTCAAGAAAATTGTCTCTCAACGTAAATAGTTTATTTTTTCGAATTTCTTTAGGGGAGATCTCTAGATCAGTTGTAGTCAGATGGAACTTGTGGAACGGTAATGCTAGCTGAAGTTCGTTATACAGAGCGAACTCAAGCTTGACGTTCGCCGTATAATGAGACTGTAGAACGAGGTCAAAATGTTTGACTTCCCTTGTAGGTCTGACTAGAATGTCTCTATCAATTTAGTTACTACCTATATCAGGTGCTTTTCTGAATGGTTATCGGGTTTGGGAAAATATTTCTGTCATGTCGAATTAACAGCCGTTACAACGGTTGTATAATACTTATCCCTCCCCTTATAAGGTAACTATCAAAAAGACATGACCACTTCAGCGAATTTTAGGTTTTAGAAGCAGGTATCTGATACATAACCCCTCACAACAATGTATCATTAAAATTGTAGTGAATCAGATCCGAAAAGTTGTTACTCGTTTGTCCTAGGACCATTGAGCAATTAATACTGGTGCTGGGAAAAGGGTATTAGGTAAGAATGTTACTGACAACTGGACTAAGCCATGTTGATAGGTATAGACTGCCAGGTTGGAGTCCACGAGAAAATCGTAACCGGTGCTTAGAGACCCTCAAGATTGTTTTCAGTAACGCAGTACTAGTACTATGGGACTTGAACTGACGATTCTATGTCTGTGCCAATGTAGTATGGCAACTTAAACTGATTTCCGTAAGTACGTTCTAGCTGACTGGCCGACTTGGAACTCTGACCACTGAAATGATTTTAAGTGCATGTGCTTTGTAAGACTCCACTATCTCAGGCTAGTAATTATTGTGCAAGAAATATTCCGCTTAATGATAAATAGTTTATTGCAAACCCTAACATTTTTTTACTTATTCTTGTTTCGTTGTTCAGTCTTCAGATTATTCACACTTTCTCCTCACATTCCACTTTTATCAACGTGTAACCAATCTTCAACGACCTGATGTTACCACTGGATCGTCTAATCTTTCTGCTTCGCTTAGAAATCATCTACGTCGAGAATGTTTCTCAATTTGTACTCAGGCTAACTATCTGGTTCACTTGTTTTCAGCCTTACTTGAAAAAACGAAATTTACTAAGGAAAAGGCGACTAATTTAAACTCGTTAACATGGAAGGAGCTAATTAGTTTGACTGATCGCGTTTTATTATCGGGAGATTGTATATTAGACACATACAATTTTGACACAATTGACCAGACAGAATCTAGTGTTTTTGGAGTACAAGATTTCACTGAAGGTAAGCTTCACAGACTTGACATTATGTGCAACAAATTATTGTGTTATTTGACCAAATATTGTTACTCTCATATACTACGAAAAAGATGTTATTCATATAACCTGCAAATGGTCGATACCTCATTTCAATATCTATCAATCAATGTCATAAGCAACGTAACCAACTGGAAAAAATATGCATCGGCTACACTACATCAAAACAAAGAGATTGAATTAGCGGAACGAATCTCAAAAAAGCATAAACAGTATCAATGGTAGTAAAAAAAGATTGGACAGAATATAATTCAAGAAAAATAAATTTGTGGAGTAAAAACTTGGGATTGATTTTAAAACTCAGGATCTTGAGGTAGACAGAGGGAATGTATCTAGGCCAATGTGACCAAGTTTGAAGTATATCACCCATCGTCTCCAACTATGGATCATGGTAGTCGCTCAGACTCCTACCAGGTATTCTGTATTTACCTACATGACTCAGAAGCAGCCAGTGTTAGTTCCTGATATTCAACATAGAACTTAACAGTTGAAGACTTTATCTACAAATACCGAACCTTAATTCGACCTCCTCTAAACTTGTCAGTCTTCATCAATCATTAATTTAGCATGACTAAAATCGTTCAGAAGTTTTAATCATAAGTTAAAAGCTATTATAGTGTACAGATGATGGTAGTGCGTGCTTTTTATGTTGATTACCTTTTAACTTGGACAGCAAAGATGCCTGGTTAGCACATGAGATGAACAAAGGCTTGTATAATAATAATGATAATAATAATAATAATAATAATAATAATAATAATAATAATAGTAATTTCAGTGTTTTGATTTTAGTCTATCCATTCATTGGTAACTGTCCAATCCAAAAGTTTAAGAATATCTATTCAGCTAATGCCTTCAAAAAATGATACCATTAATATATGGATTCCATTTTCAATGTATTTTACATCATATATTAGGATTGAATGTCATACGACTCAGAATAGAGTTATTTTTTAATTCAGTACTTCTGCTCTTACCTCACCATGAACTGGTGCAGTTTCTGACATGACCATAATCTGTTTTTATGTATATTTTTCTCTTGCAACTTCGAGAGGTTGCTAACAATCTTATTGCAGTGATTAAATCACTACTCAAGTAGATGAGTTTTTACCCAGAGAAATTTTTCCTATTTTTAGATTATCTAACATCTCCGGATTGTTTAAATCTTATCATGTGGATTTGTGCTCAACAGTTATCCTCTGCTAATGTCAATGACAAGGATTTTACTCTCAATATGCCTAGGCTAGAATTTCTGCTTAAATGTAAGTCCTTTTATATGTTTTCTTAAGTTTTGATTGAATAGTATATATGTATATATATATTGTGTCATTCGACAGCGTACACATACATACTCAAGATTCAACGTTGTCTCCGTATCAAAATTACCCAGCGTGTTCAACTATTAAATTGTAGATTAGAACACACTCACTACCTTCAGTATTTCTAAGTAGTTCCGCTGGCTGAATGTTTACATTCTTAATGCATTTTTTTTGTGTTAGTGCTTGTGTACTATTCTTAAAATCTTTCAAATGTATATATAGCTATATCGCTTGTGGAGCAATATCGATTAATTTTTTTCAATTTTATGCTATTATTTGAATTTCAGATCTATTGATTTTTAAGTAAATTTATGGAATAATCACTACTGGGATTTACAAAATTTGACTTTAACTAATTAAGGTACATATTTGTATAAATATGTGAAACATGGCCAGTGAGAGTTGAAGACATTCATAGGTTACTGGTTTTCGATCATAGGTGTCTTCGAAGCATTGCTTGTATACCGTGGGACAACCGAGTAAGCAATGCTGTCGTTAGGAAACGAATACTAGGTAAGGATGGCAGATCAATAGATGACGTGGTAAAACTTCATCAGTCTAGGTGGTTGGGACATGTGTTGCGTATGCCGAACCACCGACTGCCTCGTCGAGCTTTGTTTTGTAGTGTAGGAATAGGTTGGAAGAAAGTTAGGGGCGGCCAAACCAAAACATGGCAGAAATCCATGAAGTCATTGACTAGTGGACTGAGCCATGTCGGAAATCGTCGACTATCTGGTTGGGGTCCGCGAGATGATAATAATCGATGGTTAGAAGAGACCTTGAATGATATGGCTCAAAATCGTTCGCAATGGCGCCAGTGCATTTATGCTTTGTGTTCTCTCAAATCCTAATCTTCTGAATTCTTCAACACCTCTAGTTTCGACTTTCTAAACTTTCTTCATTGAATCATACTTCTTGAATAGTATCTTCTAATCCTAACCTCTCCGATTACTTCTAATTCCCTTACTACCTCTTCTACTATTGGATTTGAATTGACGATTACTTCTCTGTGCTTATGTGGTATGGCAACATGAACCGATGTACTTATGTACATAGTTCTACGTTGCATCTGACTGACTGACTGAGTATCTAAATGACTCTAATATGAGATCATTCATAGTCTCTAAGTAGTATTTTAAATGTTTAGTTTTTCCTGTGTTGTTAGTATTATTATTATTATTATTATAACTTCCTCGCTTCTGGGCAGTATCCCAGCCCTCATAAATTCAATGATTTTTGATATATATATATATATATATATATATATATATATATATACTTTGGAGCTCCTTTATACCCTTATTTGTATTTAAATCAATAATCTACTCCTTCTTTACAGTGGTCAAAAAACTATTTCCTAAGTTGGAATTCTCTTGTTCGTCACCTGTTTTTGGTTCACCTACTGACCGTCAGTGTAATACAAATGCAGCTATTGACCAACTTTGTCATATCGACATAATTTGTTTTCTGATCACATGTTTTCTTCATATTTCTATACGAAGTCTTTCCAAAACAAATTCAGATTATACAAAATCTCTTAGTTCACAATTAGAATTTAAATGGACCATGGAAGGTATCGGACTTGATTTCCTGTTCCTTCCTTTGTGTTTAATACCTACTGTACAACTTGCAACTTCTACACAACGTTCGTGGTGGTCATTACTTGTCAAGAATACATTACAATCTAGTTCGCAGTATGTTTTGCTTGATTTCAGTTGCATAACACATTTTATGTTTCTCTTTTGTTCAGTATATCGATTTGTTTATATTAAATTGAATATGATTGCATTTAAAAGCATGCGAAATTGGTAATAAGTTTCATAATTAAGTATTAGATTTCGATTAAAATCAAAAATTGTCAACTAAGTAGATTCATTCTCACCTCTTTTATTTAATCTAGATTCACTCACCTGACATCTGTGTACTTAATTTCGAACTACACTCTAAAATAGGATAGAAGTTAGTAATACTATCCGGTTGTCTAGGCTGTCAAGTTTTTGACGTCACATTAGATAGAACCTGTTACGTATTGACTGAAAGCTGACGGTCATGGTTATTAAAATATCGCTTCATTAACAACTGGCTAGTAAATTTCTCGTCAAAATACTTTGAGGTTTCTAGGGACTCTTCATTAATTAAAGGTGGTTAGCATCATATAAACTTAGAGTATAATATACAGATATGTCTTGTCGCTGAAGATTTTGTATATCATCTGCAGTACTTACTTTACTTACTTACGCCTGTTACCCCAAATGGAGCATAGGCCGCCTACCAGTTTTCTCCAACCAACTCTGTCCTTCGGCTTCCCTCTCCAGTTCTGTCCAATGTTTGTTCATTCCTCTCATATCTTTCTCTATTTCTCGGCGTAATGTGTTCCTTGGCCTTCCTCTTTTCCTTTTGCCTTCAGGGTTCCATGTGAGGGCTTGTCTAGTGACGCAGTTGGGTGCTTTTCGTAGTGTGTGTCCTATCCACTTCCACCGCTTCTTCCTGATTTCCTCCTCCACTGGAATCTGACTTGTTCTCTCCCACAGTACGTTGTTGCTGATGGTGTCTGGCCAACGAATCCGAAGTATTTTGCGTAGACAACTATTAATAAACACTTGTGTCTTCTGGATGATGGCTTTGGTAGTTCTCCAAGTTTCCGCTCCATACAGTAGAACTGTCTTGACATTTGTATTGAAAATCCTTATTTTGGTTTTGACTGAAAGTTGTTTGGAGTTCCAGATATTTTTCAACTGTAGAAATGCGGCCCTCGCTTTGCCAATCCGCGCCCTCACATCTGCATCGGATCCACCTCGGTTGTCGATGATGCTGCCCAGATATGTAAAGGTGTTAACATCCTCCAAGGCATCTCCATCAAGAGTGATTTGGTTGGTGCATGTTGTGTTGCATCGGAGAATTTTTCTTTTTCCTTTATGTATGTTGAGACCTACTGCTGCAGAGGCTGCTGCTACACTGGTCGTCTTCTCTTGCATTTGTTGTTGCGTGTGAGATAGAAGAGCCAAGTCATCTGCGAAGTCCAGATCGTCCAGCATCATCTGCAGTGATTGTTATTTAATCGTTTGGTTTTCATTCATTTTTTTGTCGCAACACCAACATAGCATCGTTTTTTCTCTCGATCAGATTAGCAAACCACTGTTATAGAGTAGAGGGTTGTTAAATTTAGGATTTGTGATAAAATAGTATAGATTTTGAGTTGTCTACACATAAATAGTGCTTATTAATAAATACTACACACACTAATTACGATATGACCGACTGTGATCACTTGCAAAATTACATTGCGCTAATGTGACCCTCTTAAACGAGGTGATATTAAAAGTGTAACTAACTACTATCAGAATGAGTTTTTTTTGGTATGGCATGTTTCTGTATACAACTATTAAACGCAAAAATAAACATGGTTAAAAATCTATTATTTTTGTAACCATTGAAAGGTACAAGTTTTGTGGATATACAATTCAATGATGAAACTAGCTTGGTTCTTGGCTCTCTCTGTAGCAATCGTTTGTCTTGAAGGTTTATGCCTATACATTTGCTTTATAGACATTTTAAACATTCTCAAGTTTTGTCATTTTTGTCATTCCTGTGTAAAATAAAATATCAGTTGTGTGTGTGTGTGTTTTTTAAAAAAAATTCCATAGAAACAAGTTGGACGACGAAAATCATGCATTTCTTCAGTGTGGTTTAAATCAGCTACGACTTTTACTCCATCCTACTCGTTGTCTAAATCACGAAGGTGGTATTATGAGTCCACCTCTCCTGTTTCGAGTTGCTCAAAGTCTCACTAGTTTAATGAATTATTGTTCGTGCAATCGATTGAAAACATTCGAGCAATGGCCTTTACATTATTGGTTATTTGCTTTGAAAAATCATATGTTAGGTTGTTCTGCTGAACAAAACACTCCAATAATTCAATCAAACAATGCTTCATTTTGTTCAGGTTATGAAAAATCTGGTACAAATCGTTGTTATTATAGGTAAGCATTTCCCCTATGAGTGATTATTAAAAAGAATAATCGTAATATTTAATTCGTCTGATTTTTTTTTTAATATTTGTGTTTCATAATATTGTCAGAATGATGCTTAACCGACGAGAATATCCTTTACTCTGACTGGCCATGTTTCTTAGCCATAAAGTAGTAGGACGGAGCGAACTACTGTGCAATACACTCGGCCTAGGGTTAGCAAACGATTATCTCACCTACTACTCCATAAGTAACTCAGGTTGGCAAAAGTCAATCGAGTCTTCTGTATCCGTGCTGAGATTTCGCGTCAGTCAGTCACCAGGCCATCAGCACTGATGAGACTCGCAAGATAAATGAAGCGGTCAACACACTCGACTACTTTTCACTCTCTATCACTACACTAGTTCAGGTAGAAGATATTCGTAGGTTACTGGTTTTCGATCATAGGTGTCTTCGAAGCATTGCTCGTATACCGTGGGACAACCGAGTGAGCAATGCTGTCGTTAGGAAACGAGTACTAGGCAAGGATGGCAGATCAATCGATGAAGTGGTGAAACTTCATCAGTTGAGGTGGTTGGGACATGTGTTGTGTATGCCTAACCACCAACTGCCTCGACGAGCTTTGTTTTGTAGTGTAGGAGTAGGTTGGAAGAAAGCTAGGGGCGGCCAAATCAAAACATGGCAGAAATCCATGAAGTCATTGACGAGTGGACTGAGCCATGTCGGTAATTGTCGACTACCTGATTGGGGTCCGCGAGATGATAATAATCGATGGTTAGAAGAGACCTTGAATGACATGGCTCAGAATCGTTTGCGATGACGCCGGTGCATTTATTCTTTGTGTTCTCTCAAATCCTAATCTTCTGGATTCTTCAACATCTCTAGTCTCGACTCTCTAAACTTTTCTCACTGTATCATACTTCTTGAATAGTATCTTCTAACCCTAACCTTTCCGATTACTTCTATTTCCCTTACTACCTCTTCCACTATTGGATTTGAATTGACAATTATATCTGTGTGCTAATGTGGGGTATGGCAACATGAACTGATGTACTTATGTACAAAGTTTCTACGTTGCATCTGACTGACTGACTGACACTAGTTCAGGTGCCAATGCAACCCAATTCTGAAGCAGCAACATTTTACATTTCAAATGGTGAGAACCGCATCCTGAACTTGCTTGCATCATCATTGATTAGGGTAGTCAAGAGAGAGGTACACTGTATTTTGTCAGCGTCTTCGTTAATGTTTGTTTACTCGCACAAAACTATTATTATTTTATAGTTGAAAGTAAGTAACTAAGTACATGTTTTGTTTTAGTATTTGTTGTTTGTATTGAAAAACTAAATATGAATTATGCTTTTCATTCATTCTTTCATTTAGCCCTATGATTCATCGAAATATGAATATTCAATCTTCTAACAAGTCACAACATATCGGTTCTCATATTCTATTCTTATTATCATCATCATCATCATCAAATTATAATAGTTGGTGTGGTGTTCTTTTAAATAATAATAATAATAATAATAATAATCATTCCAATGATGATATTTCATCTTTATGTCAACAATGGTGTAAACAAGGTTGGTTATGGTGTTTCACTACTATGATTGGCAATCATTATCAAAACAATCAACACAAATTATTATTCAGTGATCATGATAAACAACATGTCCGATTGCTTAATTATTTAAAAATTCATTATCCATTCATATGTGATGATGATGATGATGATGTTGAAACAGCTTGTACACGTTTTATTGAATTGAATGAATCAAATGATGAATTGAATAGTAGTTTTACAAATGAACAACAACCTTCTAATCAACCATTAAATCAGAATTATTTTTCAATGTCACAAAATACCACTTATCCTAATGCTTATAATAATAATAATAATAATAATAATAATAATAATAATAATAATAATAATAATAGTAATTCTTCGATTCCATCCATTCTAAGCAATTCAGTAAGTTCAAAAAAAACATTATTATTATTATTGTATCTGTTATTTTTGTTAATGTTTTGTATTATTTGACTGTGTCCGTCAAGGATGTCCACTTTCTCCATTCTTGTTTAATTTTTATCATAGACATGCTCCTAGACATAACCTTATCCTTGTCTGAATTTTCAGGAGTAGACCTTTTACCTGCTGGCTGGCTCGCGTATTGACTTAGAATGTGCTGATGACGTAGTCCTACTTGGTGAAGACGCTGACAAAATGCAGAGTCTTCTGACTACCCTAAGCAACAATGCAAGCATGTTCGGCATGCGGCTCTAACCCTCGAAATGCAAAATGTTGGTTCAAGATTGGGTTACATCAGTACCTGAACTACTGATAGAGAGTGAAGTAGTCGAACGTGTAGACCGCTTCACTTATCTTGGGAGTCTGATCAGTGCCGATGGCCTGGTGACTGACGAAATCTCAGCTCGGATACAGAAGGCTCGATTGACTTTTGCCAACCTGCGTCACTTATGGCGTAGGCGTGATATCCGTTCTCTAATCAAAGGACGAGTGTACTGTCCAGCAGTTCGCTCCGTTCTCCTATATGGCTGTGAAACATGGCCAGTGAGAGTAGAAGATATTCGTAGGTTACTGGTTTTCGATCATAGATGTCTCCGAAGCATTGCTCGTATATCGTGGGACAACCGAGTGAGCAACGCTGTTATTAGGAAACGGGTACTAGGTAAGAATGGCAGATCAATCGATGAAGTAATGAAACATCATCAGTTGAGGTGGTTGGGACATGTGTTGCGTATGCCTAACCACCGACTGCCTCGTCGAGCTTTGTTTTGTAGTATAGGAATAAGTTGGAAGAAAGTTAGGGGCGGCCAAATCAAAACATGGCAGAAATCCATGAAGTCATTGACAGGTGGACTTAGCCATGTTGGTAATTGTTGACTACCTGGTTTGGGTCCGCGAGATGATAATAATCGATGGTCAGAGACCTTGAATGACATGGCTCAAAATCGTTTGCAATGACGCCGGTGCATTTATTCTTTGTGTTCGTTCTCTCAAATCCTAATCTTCTGCGTTCTTCAACAACTCTAGTTTTGACTTTCTAAACTTATCTCACTGAATTATATACTTCTTGAATAATGTCTTCTAATCCTAACCTCTCCGATTACTTCTAATACCTTTTACTATCTCTTCTACTATTAGATTTGAATTGACAATTATATCTCTGTGTGCTAATGTAGTATGGCGACATGAACTGATGTACTTACGTACGAAGTTCTACGTTGCAACTGACTGACTTTAAACTGAAATATACTCATTTATAAGCTAGCTGACTTTTAAACATGCACTATCGTGGTGTAAATTGCAAAAAAAGGTGTATAAGGTTACTGCCAAAACACCTGAATCGATACAGTCAATATTAAATGTCACAGTAAACGTGTTATGACTTGATATTCTAATCGATATCACGTGTTGTATTGCCTAATCAAGATCCTGGTTATCGATTAGTTTACTGAATGACAGTAAGACAGATAACCTAGTCAATGAATAACACTGACCTTCACGCTTATTTACCTTCAAGCTCCTAACCTAGTAGTAGGCAATCAGAAAACACAGGTAGGTAGCAGACTAGTTCTCTGTTCTACTCAATTTAATCGCTACTGAAAACTCATACAATAATATATTTAAAATACGTGATTATACAACACACCCAATAGGAAATCATACTCAATACACAATTATACCATAGGTTGTGCTAAGGAGCAAAACAAACTAGGGGAATATCAAAGTGACGGTTAATAAATCCACCACTACACTGGTCAGTCAACTACAATGTAGAACTTCGTATGTACGTGTATCAATTCAGGTTGCCATACCTCATTAGCACAGAGACTCAATTTGCAATTCAAATCCCATAGTAGTAGAGGTAGTAAAAGTATTGTCAATAATCGGCGAATTTAGGGTTCCAAAAAATTATTCAAGAAATTTGATTCAGTGAAATAAACTTAGGAAGAGAAAGATAAAGTAGATGATGAATTCAGACGACTAGAATTTAAGAGTAGACAAAGAGTAGATGCAAACGATTTTGATCCATGTGTTTCAAGGTCTCTAACCATCGGTTACTATGGTCTCATGGACCCCAATCTGATAGTCTACACCTACTAACATGACTCAGTCCACTTGTTAATGACTTCATGGTTTTGTACTATGTTTTAGTTTGTCCGCTCCTAGCTTCCATCCTGCCTAATCCTACATCACAAAACATCACTCATCGAAACAGTCGATGGTTGTTAAACATGTTTAAGACATGTCCCAACCACCTCAACTGATAGAGAGTTTCACTACTTTGTCTATTGATCTGCCGTCCCTACTACCTAGTACCCGTTTCCTAACAACAGTATTGCTTACTTGATAGTGCCAAGAGGAATAAAGAAATGCAGCAACAAGGAGTGTATTCAATACTTGTGACATAACAAGTTATCTTGAAAAACTTCCCAAGATATTTCATTAAGTGAAGGCTGCTTATATGTACAGAATTTGCATTTAGGATTTTATTTCAAGCTCTAACTTTCACTTCATATGCTTTTTCAATCCAGCATGTTACGGTTCCTTTCAGTGATATATGTTCACAGAAAACATATTACTGACTTACGCCTCTTACCCCTAGTGGAACATAGATCGTCAACCAGCATTTTCCAACCTACTGTGTCGTAGGCCTCCCTTTCCAGTTCTCATCAACTTTTGTTAATTCTCCTCACGTTTGTCTCCGTTTCTCGGCGTAATGTGTTCCTTGGTGTTCTTCTTTTACATTGGCCTTGAGGATTCCAGATGAGGGCTTGTCCTATGATGCAGTTTGGTGTTTTCCACAATGTGTGTCCTATCCACTTCCAGCGCTTTTTCCTGATTTCTTCTTCTGCTTGAATTTGGTTTGTACTTTCCCACACTAAGTTGTTGTTGATGGTGTCTGAGCAATGGGTCCGAAGTATTTTGTGTAGACAACTGTTAATAAATACTTGTATCTTTTGGATGATTTCTTTGGTAGTTCTCCAAGTTTCCTTTCCACGCAGTAGAACTGTCTTGACATTTCTATTGAAAATTGTGACTTTGGTGTTGGTTGATAGTAGTTGTTTTGTGTTCCAAATGTGGTATGGCAACCTGAATTCATGTATGCACGTATAAAGGTGTACGTTGTAATTGACTGATTGACCCAGTACCAAACGTTGTTCAATTTTGTAAAAATCCAGTCCTTGCTTTCCCGTTCTACACCTTCACATCTGCATCGGATTCACCTTGCATCTTCAATGATGCTGCCCAGAGATATGTAGAGGTTTTTACATCCTCCAAGGCATCTCCATCAAGAGTGTGATTTGGTTGGCGTATGTTGTGTTGTGTTGTGTTGTGTTGTATCGAAGAAAACATTTCCTGATGATAATAGCTATCCTTACTCATTTATCGAGTGAGTGCTTCTTGTTGTAACGCTGCTACGTAAAACTCTTCAGTCCTAAGGGCGTCCAATTCAAATATCACAATACGACCCAAAAGGCTTTTCCAAATCTCCTAGAAATCAGAACGTAACACCGTGGAAGGAAGATGTTTATTGGGTCGAAAACAGAAGAAGAAGTAGGCAGGGGAAACGGAATTATTAAGTCTTCCAGATAGCGCGTATTTATACACTAAGGTCGAATAAGAAAAAGCATCAACGTCTGTGACATTGACAATTTAGGACGACCAATAGAAAAGAACATTTGAATGACATTGACCGTCCAGATGACCAATAAGAGGTAACATTGAAGTATTTGACCCTGACGGTAAGAACGATCATAATTTCGGCCAATAGAAATCGACCAATAGGATTGCACTTCTAAAAATAGTATTCTTAGGATATTTGGTGAATATCCTAACACTTCTATAATATATACCTTATATACAAGTTTGATCGAGTTCTATTTACTTGTTTCAAGTGTGACGACCACTTAAGAAATAAATAAACAATAACCACATCCCCTGTTTGTGTGTGTGCTTTTATTTTTATTTTTTTTTACTTCTATGTAGGATACAAAATTAACTACCCCAGTCTCTCCTGTCATGCAAATCACAACGATGAACAGTTCACATGCCAATTCATATTCGGTTACAATGAACAAGAACGAGAACAATAACAACAGTGTACAGGGGAATACAATAAACCACACCAATCACTTGAAAACTTCATTAACAAGTCCAGCATCAACTTCATCAGCTCATACTCCTATTCGTTCAGCGCACCAACTAGCAGAAAATCCTAGTCCTCATCATCATAATCATCATCAATATGTTAGCTCAATTGTTTCTTGTTCATTAACGGAATTTTGCAAATCATTACAAAATGCTACTGATTCTTCTATTGATCAAAATGACAATGAAGTAATCATCACAAAAACATCTAATCATCCTCATCAGGTAGATGAATTTCTTCCAATGAATACATTGTATCTGTTTACTTCTTCTTCTCTTCAATCTCTTATTCGTTTTCTTTATTGTTGTTATTTACCATTTGATATGATCTTGTTAATTTATTACATTCACCTATTATTATGCAAGAAATCTTGTATATGGTTATTATGTAACATTGTATTGACTGTACTATTACTATTACTACTATTTATTACAATAATTAATCATTTCATTGAGAAAGAAAATGATATTTTTTTTAATTATTTGCCCTTCCTTCCGTGTTTGTGTACTCTATATTGATTGGATTGTTTGATGTGTGTGTGTGCATTCAACTAAGGTTGTTAGTTTGATTGTTATGCTCTATTCTATATATAGTATTTCAACTCGTTTTTTAAACATTTAACAAGGTTTTTTAAAATAACCAAAAAATTTTTTAAAACTTTCACAGCGTTTTTAGAAAATTTTTTGTAATCCTTAGAATGTCAGAAATAAATAGAAAAAACAACTTGATTTCGAAATGAAAAAAGAAAAAGCCTTATAAAAAAAAGTTATTGAAGATGGATACACAGTGTCAAGGATGCGGTATTTCTTACAGATGTAAACTATCAGGCCGCTACAAATATATATAATAAAAATACAATTCTTAAAAATTGATTTTTGATTGCATTTTTCAATTATATAGTTGACCAACAAAACTGAATGAACTTATCTGAATTCACCGAATTAACAAATGTGTTTAGCAAAGAGAACTTCATTTTCTGTTATAGCCGATATTAAACTTATATATATTGGTTCCACGCGTTGATGGAACTAGGGCACTTGCCGGTTTTCCTCTTGTAGTAGATCTTCCCAAGGTTCTTCTTAAGTACAAATTAAAAGAAGATTCATCTATAAAAACTTTTATAAATGTATCTTCAATGTTCATAAAATTTTGAGCATAAATTTGGCGTTTGTTTTTACTGGATTCCGAATTTATATATATTGACCGATGTATATATAAGAAATCTTTTTCAAAGTAATCTGAAGTCTATATATAAATTATCCTTCTTATAGATTCAAGAGAAAGGCCTATAGAAAATATATTTTCTATTTTTTCTCTAATATCTACCATCGTTATTAATGGGTTTAATTCTATCAATTCTTCAAGAAAATTGATATATAATATCACCGCATATCTTCTTATTTGATGGTTTTCTTGTTTTTTTCTTCTCAACTCGCGATTCCTTTTTATACAACCTTATAATATATATTTGTAGCGGCCTGATAGTTTACATCTGTAAGAAATGCCGCATCCTAGACACTGTATCCATCTTCAATAACTTTTTTTATAAGGCTTTTTCTTTTTTCATTCGAAATCAAGTTGTTTTTTCTATTTATTTCTGACATTCTAAGGATTACAAAAAATTTTAAAAAACGCTGTGAAAATGTAAAAAAAATTTTTTGGTTATTTTAAAAAACCCTGTTAAAAGTTTAAAAAACGAGTTGAAATACTATATATCAAACCTTTTTTTTAAAAAAAAATTAGATAGAGGAGAATCGTGTAGTAGTGCACTTGAAGTCACACTTCTAATGCTGTGGGCTAATAATACTACCTATTTGGTTTACTCCTACTGAAATAAGCGAAACGAACTACAAACCTGCAAGGATAAATATCAAACGTCTTCATCATTGAGACATCACTCAAAAAATCTGGATGGGTGAATTTATACTTTCTCATGAAGTTATCATCATCATCATTGATGCCAACTAAAATATACGTAATAGGAGAATAGTATCTAAATTAACAGGGTAGTTATACATAAGTATAATATGAAGCCTGCAATTCGCTCTGTCCTACTAGTCGGCAGTGAAACATGGCCAGAAAGAGTAGAAGATATTCGTGTAGGCTACTAGTTTTTGACCATAAATGTCTCCGAAGCATTGTTCGTTTATCTTGGGACTATTGAGCAAGCAATGGAGTCGTTAGGAAGCGGGTACTGGGTAAGAATGGCGAATCAATAGATGAAGTATTGAAACTGCATCAGTTGAGGCGGTTGGAACATGTGTTGCGTATGCCTAACCACCGACTGCCTCGATGAGCTATGTTTTGTGGTGTAGGAGTAGGAGTAGGTTGTAAGAAACCTAAAGGCGGCCAAACCAAAACATGACAGAAATCCATGAAGTCACTGACAAGTGGATTGAGTCATGTTGGTAAGTGTAGACTACCTGGTTAGGGTCCGCGAGATGATAGTAATCAATGGTTAGTTGACCTTTGAATGGTGTGATATGCTCTATCTATATATATGTGACAACGATGCTAGATTGATTGTCATTTTGATATTTTTGTTTTATTATTTATTTTTTATTTAAAAAAAATTTTTTTTTTTTAGGATTCTTGTCTAACTAATCTAATCAGTGTTTGGCAAACATTAGTCAGTGGTCTATCATGTCAACTGGCTGAAACTAAAGCTGAACTTACACGTAGTCGTGAATTGAATGAACGCTTATCGAAACAATTAGATGAGACTAGTAAACAATTATCGGATGCAGTTAATCGATTTATTGAATTTGAAAATAATTATCGAGAAAAGTCTTTTTTAAATAATAATAATAATAATGCATTAACCAGTACATCATCATTCGAAGCAAGCATCTGTATGATGGAGACACCAATTCGAGAATTTCGCAGTGCTGTGAATGAACTTCGTTATTGGCTACCAGAAGGTATGGCAGCTGCGGCGTGTGCTGCTGTTAAAACACTCTTAGCAACAACAACAACAACATCTGTTCAAGCTCCCGTACCATTATTTGGTGGTCAACTTCACTTATCATCATCATCGTCTGGTCATGCAGATCTATTGATGATGCAATCAAATAATTCTGGTACTTTTCCTTTATGTATTTGTTTTAGTTGTTTGATTATTATTTCAGGTCTTTTTTTTTAAAAAAATTTATTTACCAGTCAGTCATGTGTGTTTTATGGTGTTCTTGTTTGGTAAAAAAAGAATCGATTTACAAACTAATTTATCAGTTACATATTTTTTTGAAACCATGAATCGATCAATGTTAGACCACCATTAGGAGAAACCTGGAAGTACTGAAAGACGGCCGTTTCGTCCTGGTATGGGACTCATTAGTGGTAGTGTGCATCCACAACTCATGCACCCTACAGGTTTCGAACCTTCGGTATTGTAGGCGAACGCCTTGATCAATTATTCATGGTTTCAAAAAATGTGTAACTTAACAATCTTCACAACCCTGTAATGTAATTTATAAGTGTTAAGAATATCAGTTTAAATCTAACCTGTATATAGAGATTCTAATGTAAAGATAATACAGGACACCTGGGGTTATAAGGATTATACAGTGTATCTTTATTTCTATAAGCTAAATGCTCTCCATTCGGTAGGGAACGTACAATCTATGAATACAATTTATAAGAAAAGAAATCATTAGGAACGGGAAAACCAAAAACATGACATGAATCCTTAAAGTCATTGACAACTGGACTGACCCATGTTGGTTGGAGTCTGCGAGACCAGTAGTAACTGATGGTTAGAGCCTTCACATGAAACGACTCAAAATCGTTTTCAATCGCATAGATGCATCGATTCTTTGTGTTCTCTCAAATCCTAATCTTCTGAATTGCTCATCACTTTTATCTTTCTCGTTTTAAATTTATTTGACTGAATAATACTCCTCGAACGATATATACATGATGCCCTGATCTTTTCGATTAACGCTAATACTGCTACAGACTTTAGTCTTATGTGGTTGTGAATTGATATTTCAATCTCTGTGTACTAGCTAATGTGGTAATGGTAACTTGAATTGATGTACAATATGTATGAAGTTCTACTGCTGTTGCTGAATTTTTCATCGTATTACATTATTCAATATAGCAAACTACGGTCATACACTTCTTGTACTTTATTCATTAATTCTAATCATTGTTATTTATGTAAAATCAGTCAGTTGGTCAGTTACAACGTAGAACTTCGTACGTACGTACGTATATCAGTAAAAGTTGCCATAACACATTAGCACCGAGAGGCTATTGTTTTGCACTGTAGGAGTGGATTGTAAGAAAGCTAGGGACGGCAAAACCAAAACATGTCAGAAATCCATGAAGTCACTGGCAGGTGGACTGAGTCATGTTGTTAGATGTAGACTACCTGGTTGGGGTCCGTGAGACGATATTCACCGATGGTTAGAGACCTTGAATGACATGGCTCAGAGTCGTTTGCAATGGCGCAGGTGCATCCACTCTTTGTGTTCTATGAAATTCTAACCTTCTGTATTCCACATAATCTACCTTTCTCCTTCTTAATTTATCTTACTGAATTATACTTCTCGAATCATATCTCTCCGATTACCGCTAATACTTCTACTATTGCTATCACTCTTGAATTTGAATTGACAGTTGCGTCTCTGTGTTGATGGGGCATGGCAACCTGAACTGATGTACTTACGTACGAAGTTCTGCGTTATATTTGTCTGTCTATTGTCAATTGAAATCCCGGCCACTGCCTTGTCCAATCTAGCCAACCAGATTGAGATGATGATGATACGCCGGTGGTGGGTTGTGCTCTAGTCGTGGCCCTAATGTGGTCTACCACCATCAAATTTAAAAGTGAACTTGTTGTTTCTATTGTATTAAAGTTGAAGTATGTGCATAAGCACACATCATAATTTGTAGTATTTTGATATTCATTAGTTAGTTGTATGCAAAATGTTATGTGTAGACTTAACAATGGTGAATTTTTTTTCTTCAAACTTATATATTGATTACTACTTATTTGTTTTGTGATAATGATTATTATTATTTTTTTTAAAAAAAAACAAACATTCGAATCGATCTCTTGTTCTGTCTTCTAATTTTAAAGATTCTACGAGGTGTATTTGTGTATAATTAAATAATAATAATAATAATGACCTTTTTTGTTATTGAATTATTTCACAATAGACATGATCAAAAACAAATGACTAGTTAACAAATTGAATAACATTTTATACATAAGCGTTCTAAGCGTGTGTAGACGAGACGTATTGCTGCTACAAACTTAACAAAATGAAACATAACTCAATTTAAAATAAAAGCAATTTTTTTTCTTGATATATTTGTTAAATGTGTATGAATGACTGTGTTAGTCATAGTTCAAATCACATTCTGTTATGTTATGTTTTTATGTGTTTAGATATCATTTACTTACTGGTTAGTAGTTTGTACCTGATGTCTGTGACATGAAGTCTATGAAGTCACTGACAAGTGGAGTGAGAGGACATGTTTATAAGTGTAGACTGACTACCTAGTTTGGGCTTCGTGAGACAATAGTAACCGATGGTTAACGATATGGCTCGAAATTGTTTGCAATGGCGCAGGTGCATCCATTCTTTGTGTTCTCTTAAATTCTAATCTTCTGAATTCCTCATGACCTTCATCTTTCTCTTTTTAAGTTTATTTCACTGAATTATACTTGTTGGCTAATATCTTTGAACCCTAATCTTCTCCATTACCGTTAATACTTCTACTACTGTGGGATTTGAACTGACAATTGCGTTTCTCTTCTAATATGGTATGGCAACCTGAACTGATGTACTTACTGTTGGGGATGTTAGATCCCCAAAATTCGTTTGATAAATGCCTTAATTTGGTTTTCACGTTTTGCCAGCATGGGCTGATCAAATGACCTTGAGATTTCAATTCCCACCAGGAAAATCCATGGCTGTGATAGGCTGCTGTGTGTTTTAGTATGCTATTTTCTTAACTGTCTCAAGGACGTTCCTATGTTGTATAAATAAACGAGAGTTGTATGCTTGATTGTACTGTAATTGCTGGGTGTTTGTAGAATATACTTTCTACGCTTACAAAGCCTTTTATTTCGACTTTGGGTATTCAAGGTAGCCTCTCTGGACGCTGGTAAAAGTCTCGTTCGCGTTTATCGACTAAGGTAAACTCGTAATAGCCTCAAGCATACTAAGTGACGAACTTATCACTTACATACGAAGTTCTACTTTGTAACTAACTGACTAACTGTGACAATACAAACTGACGCTTCATGGAACAGATTATCCATTGTAATTGGTCACACTGCTGTTGTTGTTAATCTTATGCTCTTTTATTTTTGGCGCTCTTCAAAAATTCCTCAAAAAAATACATTTTCCAATGTTACACAAAAGTTTATCCTGTCAATGAAAATAATCCCGAAAACTTATAGGAAATTTAAAGCTTGAGAGTGTCTGTCACTGATTGAATAATTTCCTATTTCATCAATAGACTTTGCATATTTTCAGTAACTCCCAGAATATATTGAGGTCTCTCCCTACAAACCTATAAATACTCTTGAATTTTTTAGTACAATAATCAACCCTTAGAAGTAAAACTTCAGTTCAATATATTCCCTCCTTCTAACATGTTCAGTGTTCATGTGTTGAAAAGATTAAGAAACGATTATAAGGACATTGTAAAGCATTCGATTAACATAAACAAACACCATTAGTTCAAATTTTACGCACTACATATTTTCAACTATTTCTATATGTGTTATATGGCTTGACTTAATTTTTTTTATCAATCAATAAATCCATGTTTTACTTCCATATACTTTCATTTTATTTTTTACAACAATAGCTGTTCAAGAAAGACCAAATCTTAACACTGTTATTCTATCACCTAAATCAAAAGATAAATATGTAGATCAATCTCCTGAAGCATATGAACCAAATGTTCATTTTACACCGGTCTTAGAAACACTTCCAGATCTTGTTGAATTGAAAAATGAAGAAGAAAATGAACAACGTCTATTTTGTGAACGTGCTCGTCTATATCATTGGGATAAGTTAAGTGAAAGTTGGAAAACTCGCGGTGTTGGTGATGCTAAAATTTTGAAGAATTTAAAAACTGGCAAATGTCGTTTAATTATGAGACGTGATGAGGTAATTAATGCATGTGTGCATGTGTGTGTATTTTTATTAATTTCAGTTCGATTTATTTATTATATTCTTTTAATGCAAATCCATTGTGCTAGCGATTTTTTGCAATTGAATTACGTTTGTCAAAACCCTCATGGAAAGCATAGACCACCACTGATCCTGACTAGTTTGGTCTCGTGTGCTGTTGTTACTAGTATGAGGGTGGAAGTCACACTTCCAGGCCGCCCACACCCTGGGAGGGTATTATTTCTTGAGCAACCTGAAAAAGAAGTTGGATTAATGTGGGTCTTTGAGTCCTGTGAGCGTGACCGCAGACCTCGAGGGACAACTGCTTGAGGCCGGTCACACATGGCCTATTCTTTGGAAGATTTTGAAGTGTTAACTTCGCTCTTCAAGTGGCCTTACCATTGGAGACGGAAATCCGTGAAGTAAGATAAGGTGTGTCATTTTTAGGGTCGACATTTTCTAGCCCTAGGCAGATGCTGGTTGTTCAAGAGAAAACACCTTACTGCTGTCATACCGCTCGGCCGTCAGCAGCAGTACGACTTCGCCCTCAGACCTTGAGCAGCTGCTTTTAGTCTCATCGTTCTCCAATCAACCTACAGGAACATATGTTCCAGCCAATACAGCTTAGTTGGATGATCACGATAGACAAGCCCGACTACCACGTTAATGTAGCAGTTACTACATTCGCCACGATGAGATTCGAATCGATAATTCCATCTCTATGCTACTATGGTATGGAAACGTAAACTGATGTACGTACGTACGAAGTTTTACGTTTGTAAACTTCATTAATTGCTTATTTCTATTGTTTATCGTTTTTTTTGATTGTTAGGTGAAAAAATTATGCCTTAATCATTTTATTAATTCTTCAATCAAATTAACTCCTTCAACAAAAGATCGAAAATTAGCTATGTGGGCAGTGAAAGATTATTCTGAATCAATGGAAGGTATTAATGAATTATTTATGATACAATTTAAATCACCTGAAATACTTGATAATTTTAGTCGAATCTTCACAGAGTACACAACAACAGAATCGAATGCAACCATAATAAAGACAATGTCCGATAATGTCAATAATAATAATAATAATAATAATAATAATAATAATAATAATAATAATAAATTGTCATTTATGAATAATGATACTACGGTTAGTATTACTACTACTAATACTACTACTAATAGTACTACTACTAATACTACTACTACTAGTAGTAGTAGTAGTAGCATTCAATTAACGGTGAATAATAATTCAAAACCATCAAAATTAGATGAATCTAAAAATACAACTCAACCAATCAAATCTACATCAAATACGTCATCATCATTGTCAAAGTTTGCGCCTAAACAAGGTTCATGGGAATGTTCCACTTGTTTATTGTATAATGATTCATCGAAGATTGTATGTGTTGCATGTAACAGTAGTAAACCGGGTTCTACTACGGTGGAACATAAAAATGTTACTCAAAAGTCTACTGTTTCAACAACATCATCATCATCATTGCTATTTGGTGGTAGTATTTTACAAAATACTGGTAGTGGTGTTGGTGGTGGTGGTTTTGTATTTGGAAATGCAAAAATTACAGAATCCGCAATGAGTACTACTACTACTTCTACTGCTACTGCTACTACCAATACAAATGCTGTGAATACAACAACAGTTTCTTCTTCTATTAAAGCTACAATTACATCGACAATAACAACAACAACATCAACTGCTTATAAACCTATATTTAGTTTTGTAGCTACTACTACTACTACTACTACTACTAGTTCACCAAATAAACAATTTACAAATGTATTATTTCCTTCTCTATCAACGTTGACATCGACAACAACAGCATCATGTCAGTTACCAGTAGTGACGAATTCATTCATTTTCACGTCTTCTTCTTCTCCTTCTTCTACAACTACTACTACTACTACTTCTTCTATATTTAAACCATCTATTCTTAATACATTTTCTACGCCACCACCCATAACAACATCCAACACATTGTCAACGAATAATAATAATAATAATAACAATAATAATAGTAGTACTGTTGGATTTACATTTTCATTTGGTGATACACTATCAAAATTCAATGAATTGAATAGATCATCCACAACAACAACAACAACAACTACTGGTGTTGTTGTCACACCATCTCATCGTGATGAGAATAATGATGAGAATGACGATGATGATGATAAAGTAGAATTATTGGATGATTCTAAATTAACATTTAAACCAGTCTTAGAAGTGATGCCACAAAAAATTGAAATTTTCACTGGTGAAGAAAATGATGAAGTGATATTTTGTCGTCGTGCTAAACTTTATCGTTGGGATCATAATACATGGCATGAACGTGGTATTGGTGATTTAAAATTGCTACGTTCTACAATGACTGGTGTAATTCGATGCTTGATGCGTCGTGATCATGTATTAAAAGTTTGTTGTAATCATGTGATTGGTGTTGGTATGCATTTGAAACCAATGAATACCGGTGGTGGTCGAGCTTGGAGTTGGTGGGCTATTGATTATTCTGAACAATTAGATGAAACTAATAGTAGTCAAACAACTGAGACTGAGTCGTCAGATTTAGTTGCTGGTGGTAGACGTGAAACATTTGCAGCTCGTTTTAAACTTACTGAACATAGTGAGGAGTTTCGTGCAGTTTTTGAAGAAGCTGTTCAAGCAGCTGAAAATCGTGTCAACAATACTTCACAATCTAATGAAATAATAAAGGAGGTGGATCTAGATCGAACTAGTGAGGATACGGACTCTGATGTAGTTGTTGTTGATATTCCTTTACAGGTTAGTTTGATATTTATTTATTGAAACTTCATCAGTTGAAGTGGTTGGAACATGTTTTACGAATGCCTAACCACCGACTGCCTCGTCGAGCTATGTTTTGCCGTGTAGGAGTAGGTTAGAAAAAAGCTAGGGGTGGCCAAACCAAAACATGGCACAAATCCATGAAGTCACTGACAAGTGGGCTGAGTCATGTTGGCAGGTGTTGGTTGACTGCCTGATTGGGGTCCGCGAGACGATCTTAACCGATGGTTAGAGACCTAGAACGACATCAGACAGATACAACGCAGAACTTCGTACGTAAGTACATCAGTTCAGGTTGCCATACCACAAAGACTGGCATCGTTTGTATTAGCTATGCAGTATGATAAAGGAATGTGAGAAGAGTTAGTCGTGAAGAGAAGAGAGATATTAAGGAGTGTAGGAAGGATTTGATTTGGACCAATATGGTCTCGCGTGCTGTTAAGGGTATGAGGGCGGTTGTCACTTCCCGGCTGCCCACACTGTGGAAGTACGACATGGCTCAAAATCGTTTGTTTTCCTTCAAATTCTACTAATCCTGTGGATTCTTCGTCAACTTTATCTTTACCTTCTTAAGTTTATTTCACTAGATTCTAATTCTTGAATACTATCTTTGAACCCTAATCTATCCGATTAGTGCTAATAATACTTCTTCTAAACGTATGGGATTTGAAGTGACAATTGCATCTCTGTGCTAATATGGTATGGCAATCTGAAATGATGTACGTACGCACATACGAAGTTCTACGTTGTAGCTGATTGACTGACTAATATTTATTACGCTCATTAAAAATCGTTTATATATATATATTCAGTCAGTTGCAACGTAGAACTTCGTACGTATGTACATAAGTTCATGTTGCCATACCACAGCACAGAGACGCAAATGTCAAATCAAATCCCATAGTGATAAAGATAGTAGAGGTATTAATGGTAATGAAGAAGACTAGGGTTCGGAGATATTATTCAAGAAGTATAATTCAGTGAGATAAGGTTAGAAAGACAAGGGTAGAGGTGCTGACGAATCCATAAGATTAGGATTTGAGAGAACACTAAGAGTGGATGCACCTGCGCCATTGCAAACGATTTTGAACCATGTCGTTCAAGGTCTCTAACCATTGATGACTTTCGTCTCGCGGACCCCAACCAGGTAGTCTACATCTACCAACATGATTCAGTCCACTTATCAGTGACTTCATGGATTTCTGCCATGTCTTGGTCTGCCCGCCCCTAACTTTCTTCCAACCTACTCCTATACCACAAAACATAGCTCGTCGGGGCAGTCGGTGGTTAGGTATATGTAACACATGTCTCAACCACCTCAACTAATGAAGTTGCACAACTTCATCTATTGATCTGCCATCCTTACCTAGAACTCGTTTCCTAACGAGTTATATATATATATATATATATTCTGAATTATGATATTATCTTACTGTTTTGGTTTTTTAAGTCAAATGTTCAAAGTTTATAGAGAACTATGTGCTAATGTTATATGTTGATAGTTGTTAACTTAATTATTTTTCTAAAAAAAAGGATGTATCTAAGTTAAATTGTAGATTTTGTAGCTTTTCTCTCACTCTCTCTCTCCCTCTACAGCTACATTACATATATAAATGTTTTTTTAATTCTTGTATTCCCAGGTATCAGACGATCAATTATCCAGGGCACGTAAATTGAAATTACCTGATGAATTTTATAGTTATGAAAATGGTCATGTGACTGGTGAATCAGAGCATCTTACATCACGTGAGGAGGCAGAAGAAGATGCACTATTAGAAGCTGCTGTGAAAGGTAACAAAGGTACTGGTACAACGCTGGCGACGACAACAACACCAACAACTCCCACCACTAAAGACTATTCGAATAATGATTCTACGTCGAAACTCACACCGACTTCCAAACCACAAAATGTAACTACTGAGGCTCAGTGCACAAAAGAAGATACAGGTTAGCGTTTATTGTACAAATACAGTGGTAATATCGGTTTCCATTCCTTTTCTTTTCTATGCATGTTAAGTAAGCCTGGTGTTATAGTTCTCTATTAATACAACCCAGCTATTCCTATTGCTTAGTATTCTCTAACAACAATACACTCGACAAGTCCCCGAATCAGAACACGGTTGAACAGGAAAAAGATGATTATATTCCAAAAATAGCAAGGTTAAATGGAAATAAGAAGCCGAAGCGAAGGCGAAATAGGTACAATGTTAGTATCTTCATAGTTTTTACATGTGGATTTTCTAGAATGGTCTCCAAGTATCGACCAAAATGCAGCTAGTGCAGTCATGCCTTAATCCATATCTGTCCCGCTAACACCTAGGCTTTTGTCAACAATTGTTACTTTTATGTGTTAATCTCTAATGTCTGAGTTAGTCAGCTACAACGTAGGACTTCGTGCCTACGTCCAAGTTGCCATTACCACATCAACACAGAGACGGAGTTTTCAGTTCAAATCCCACAGTGTTAGATGTAGTGGAAGTATTAATGGTAATCAAAAAGATTACGGTTCAAAGAAATTATTCGAGAAGTTTAATTCAGTGAGATAAATTTAAAAAGAGAAAGAAAGGGGTGATGAGGAATTCAGGAGATTAGAATTTCAGAGAAAACAAAGAGTAGATGCACCTGCGCCATTGCAAACGGTTTTTAGCTATGGCTCATTCCAATTGTCAGGGACTTCATGGATTTGTACCATGTTTTGGTTTGGCCGCCGGTAGATTTCTGCCAGCCTACTCCTACATTAGAGACACCATCGCTTGTTGAATCAGTCGGTGGTTGGGCATTCTTAGCACATGTCCTAACCATTTCAACTGATGAATATTCACCACTTCAGCCATCCTTACCTGGTACTTCTTTCCTAACACAACAACTTGGCTTACTCGATTATCCTAATATTAGAGTAACAATAAAAAAAACATACAAACTCCCATATCTCATTTTATTGATGGGTGTCAATTAACCATACTGGACTAAATTGTGATTGATTCCTAATAACGTCGATCATTTCAGTTGCATATTATAAGACACGAAATTATCATGACATAATAATTGGTTGTATAATATAAAATAGTTAGTAAAGCTAATTTTTTTTGCTGATAACACATTTGTCTACTGATATTTATTATTACGATTGTGACTCATTTACTAAATGTATGCAGTAGTGGTAGTGTGGTGCGCACTACTTATAAGTAGTATATGACGCGAGTGAAAACGTAATGTCTGGCAGCAGAAGATGGGCGGAAGATCAAGAAAGGAAGAGTGAGAACACAATGGAATTTGTATGAACCACATGAATAGTGAAATGTCAGACAACGGATTGATGATGGATTGAAGATTTGCAAATTAACGTTTACGATATGGTTTTCCTATTTCACCGAGTAACTCTGTAATTTTCGTTAAATACAATTCGGTTGCCCTCACCTATGTTCTACTTCACTACAGTAGTAGTGGCTAGGGGATACTTATTAGTTATAGTTGTTAGCTGAGGTTCGAACCTACAGTCTATTTAGTTGAATCCTAACGATTTTAACCAATCAGCTGCTACCACTGATATCTTTTTTATATGGCGACGATGATTTGCTTGTTAGATCGATCATGAAATAATAACTATGGATATGTATGTATGCGGTATTTATTTAACATAAAACAATATAGTAAGTAAATTTTTGAATAATTTTAGTTGATTTTATTGTTGATAACATTTTTATTATTGACTTATCATAAAAATGTGTTTTCGTGTATATTTTCAGCTACTTCATCATCATCCATGTACATCCCACAAGGTAAAGGTCTACTTAGTTTTTCAACATTGATTAATGCTGCTGCCTCTAAAGACAGTCCTCCAACATGGGGTTCACCATCTAATAATAATAATAATCCTCCAACATGGAGTAATATGGGTGCACAGTTGTTTGCTAAACCTGCCAAAGTAACCACTGAACAAGATGATGAAGATTCAACTAGTACAGAACATGATCCACATTATGAACCGATTGTTTCATTGCCAAAACTTGTTGAGGTTTGTCTTTCTTTGTTTCTCTGGTTTTTCAAGGGATTACCGATCATATGTTGAAAGATTTGATCTTGTGTATTTTTACGGGTATGTCAGTCAGTGGGGGCATAGGCAGATATGACGAAGAGGCAACGGCAATTGTCCCTATCCTTCCGAGTCCTTACTGTCCCGTTTAGTCTGTAGTGTGCCGATAACTGCGTGTTCTTATAGCTCCGTTTATAAATCAGAAGGTGAACTCATATTGATGAATTCGTTTGTTCGAGGCACACCACAAATCGAATTGGAGAAGCGAATAAGAGAAGGCTAGTGAGCCAACTCTTTGGATTACAATGCAAGCGAATGAACGAAGCGACGTGGAGAAGGCTAGTGAGCCAACTCTTTGTATATTGAATCTGATTCGATCAGCGAATTCATTAATTTTCCTGAGCTGCTTTGTCGCTGTATGGCGTCGGGATTTCCAGTTAGTGGTTCTGTTCGATTTGTCCTCGAAATTACCAACTGGTTGGTTATATTCGATTTGTCATCGGAATCGTCGAATTATTACTGGAAACGTCGGGCTTACCAGATGAGGTGTGCCGATTTAATGCGTGTTCTTACGTTTCGTGATAAGCTCGTTCAGACTACCTTATCCAGTTGACGTCTGACGGTTAATAAATCAGAAGGCTTCCAATTAATTGGTAATTTCGACGTAGAATCGAACGCAATCAGTCTTCCGTGCATTCGCTCGCCAGTGCACTACAAAATGGTTATCCCGACGTCAGCAAAATCGGCCACCGTACAAGTCGGACAGCGCACAAACGCCCGACCGTAGCTGCTACCTTGACGTGGTGGTCGGGCTTGCCTATCGTGATGACCCAACCGAGCTATACTGGCTGGAACATATGTTCCTCAAGGTTCTACCATGCCAGGCAGGTCGATTGGAGAACGATGAGACTAAAAGCAGCTACCCAAGGTCTGAGGGCGAAGTCGTGCTGCTGACTGCAGAGGGGTGTGACAGCAGTAAGGTGTTTCGCTCGGACAACCAGCATCTGCAGCGATGCTGCCTTCTCACAAGGAAGGAAGGGTTAGAAAAGGTCGGCCCTAAAAATGTCACACCTCCCCTAACTCACGGATTTCCGTCTCCCTGGATAAGGGTGCCCACTAAAGGCCTTTAAGAACGGAGCTAATCCTCTAAATACCTCTCATAAAAAGGCCGTGAGTGACCGGCCTCAAACAGTTGTCCCTTGGGCTCTGCGGTCACGCACCAACACTAATCCATTTTCCGTTGCAGGTCCATCAAGAAACAACCTTCCACGGTGTGGGCAGCCGGGAAGTGACAACCGCCCTCATACCCATAACGGCACGCGAGACCAAATTGGTCAAAATCAAATCCTTCCTACACCCCCCTAATGTATCTCTTATCTCTTTACGGGTATATGGGAATATGTTTTCTGAGGGATGGGATCGCCAACCCCAACCCTCCTTTATCCCGGGCTTGGGACAGACAGCAGCCCCGGAGGGGCTCTAGGCGCAGTTACCAACCATATTTTTATACTAGTAGTTCTATTTAAACTTTAAATATATTAGAATTAAATACCACTGAGTTTTCACTGCTTATACATGTATATATTTCTAATCACTTTTAGACTAAGACTGGTGAAGAAGAGGAGCTTTGCATTTTCCTTCGACGTTGTCGTGCCTATCGTTATGTGGATAATGCTTGGAAAGAACGTGGTGTCGGTGAAATAAAAGTTCTTGTACGACCTCGTACTATGCCTGCAGATGCTGCACATTTTGGACCACGTCAAATTGTTCCACTAGAATATCAATTAACCAATATTGGTCGAGCACGTATTCTAATGCGTCGTGATCAAGTTTTGAAATTGTGCTTAAATCATCCTATTAGTCATGAATTTCCAGTGTTGAAACCAATGGGTAACACGCCAAACGGTAATAGTCTATGTTGGGTTGGTGAAGACTATAGTGAAGGTTCAGCTAGTAAAGAAACATTAGCTGTTCGATTTAAAGTGAGTTAGTTTGAAGGGAAGAAAAGATGAAAAAGAGAGAATTCAATTCTCTACATTTGATGATTGATTACATAACATAGAGTTTTTGTGAATTTTTTATTTTATGCAATCACTTTTTTTTTGTATTGATCTTTCTCTACAAAAGTTGTTATTTTCTATTTTTTAGTCTGATCACGATGCTGAAGAGTTTAAAGCTGCAGTTGCACGAGCACAATCAGCTCTCAATAACTCATGATTTTAATCAGGTAATAAATAATACATTAGTATGTATGTATGTTGTGTAGTAGTTCATTAAAATAAAATGAAAGTGTATTTTTTATTTTATTGAAAATCGATGAACTATGATTATTTATTTCATAAATTGTTTAGCCACGTACGTGGCTTGTTAACAATGTGAGATTAATCCATGCCAAATGGATATAGACTAACTATCTGGTTTTTTTTGGGTTCGGCCGGTTTATCGTAAACCAACCAGTGTTTATTAAGAATTTGTATGACATGGCTCAAAATAGTTTGCCAATGAATGGCACAGGCGGGTGAGGGGAGGGACATTCATTTTTTATCCTCTCCCAGTTTCTGAATTGATCATTTTTTTTAACTGATGTACATACGCAACAAGTAGTGCGTTTCAATTGACTAACTGCTTTAACAGTGGAGTAAATAGCTACTATCTAAGTTTCATGAATCGCATACTACCACCAATTGGTAATTTTTGTGGGAAACTCATTTATGAAGTGCAACTCGTCTTTGGGTTGTTTTTGATTGACAAAGAAATTAATTGTATATATTGGTTGATAAAACCTAGAGGCGGCTAAAACAAAACACAGAATGTCTGTCTCCATTTCTCGGCGTAATATGTTCCTTGAATTTCTGCTTTTCCATTGGCCTTGAGGATTCCAGATTGTGGGCTCGTCTTGTGACGCAGTGTATCCCATCCACTTCCACCGGTTCTTCCTGATTTCTTCGTCTGCTGGAATCGGGTTTGTTCTCTCCCACAGTAGGTTGTTGCTGATTGTCTGGACAACGAATCCGTACTATTTTGCGTAGACAACTGTCAATAAATACTTGTATCTTCTGGATGATGTCTTTCGTGGTTCTCGACGTTTTCGCACCATACAGTATAGCAAACTGTCTTGACATTTGTATTGAAAATTGTGACTTTGGTGCTTGTTGACAGTTGTTTTGAGTTCCAGATGTTGTTCAGTTGTAGAAATGCAGCCCTTGCTTTCCCAATATGCGTCTTCACATCTGCGTCATTAATAATACTGCCCAGATATGTAAAGAGGTCTTTACGTCCTCCAAGGCATTCCCATCATTAGTTGCATTGTATTGGAGAATCTTGCTTCCGCTTTATGTATGTTGAGATTTGCTGCTGCTGAGGCCGCTGCTATACTGGTCGTCTTCTTTTGCATTCGTTATTGCGTATGAGATAGAAGTGCCAGATCATCTGGCAGATAAGTTGATCATACGCCAGTTAAATTTTGACTGTAATGTTATCTTATCACCCGTTAAATCAATTCTAGTGATATCAAATAGTGAATGTTTGAAACGTCTGACTTCCAACTCCAACTTCCATTGAATTACAGTTTTTAACTAACAACGTCGACTTCATACTAATTTCAGTTTAGATAGTGTAGTCAAGCAACAGTAGTGATAGTATTATTATTACCTTTACTACCGTTTGCAATAGCGCCGGTGCATTTAGTCTTTATGTTCTCTCAAATTCTAATCTTCTGGATTCTTCAACCCCTCTAGTTTTGACTTTCTAAACTTTTCTCACTGAATCATACTTCTTGAATAGTATCTTCTAATCCTAACCTCTCCGAATACTTCTAATAACTTTACTACCTCTTTTACTATTGGATTTGAATTGACAATTATATCTCTGTGTGCTAATGTGGTATGGCGACATGAACTGATGTACTTACGTACGAAGTTCTACGTTGCAACTGACTAACTGACCCCCGACCAGTCGTATAAACAAATTTAACTAACGCCTAATATTATATATATTGGGGCACATTTGAAATCATTGATCAATCATCATTGTTAGACCATCATTAGAAACCTGGAAGCACTGGACGGCCGTTTCGTCCTAGTATGGGACTCCTCAGCAGTGCGCATCCACGACTCCTGCACCCCGCAGGATTCGAACCCGGGACCTTTGGCATTGTAGGCGAACGCCTTACCATCGGACCACTGGGCGTTCGCAGGAGTCGTGGATGCACACTGCTGAGGAGTCCCATACGAGGACGAAACGGCCGTCCAGTGCTTCCAGGTTTCTAATGGTGGTCTAACAATGATGATTGATTAATGATTTCAAATGTGTAATATTATATAGTTTTTTTAAATAAATTCATAAACTTATCCCGATTTGCATGTTATTGAATAAATTCTCATTTATATTTATTATATTACACACGCATTTACTTTCAAATTTTCTAATTGAACCAATGCATTTTGTTTCTCTTGTTTTTTTCAGCATTACGTTCTGCTGCTGCTGCTTCTTCTTCTTGGATGAATTCTTTTACGTGAATTAGTTTTTCATTCAGTAATTCATCATTCAGTTAGTTGTTGTTATTCATGGAACTAATCATCTTAAGCTTGCCTATGCAATCATTTGTTTGTGTGTTTGTGCGTATGTGTGTATATCTTATATGTGAGTGATGCTATTGTCTCTTTCTCATTCGTTCGTTCACTCTTTCTCAAGGTCACACAAAAATACAATGTTTTATTTGATTGAATACTATTTACAAGATAACATAACATAACATAACATAACTGGTCATATGTAATCATAAAAATAATAATAATAATAATAATAAAAATATAACATAGATTTGTCAATTGTCTTCTCTGTTTTTTTTTTATAAAAAAAATCTTTTTTTTAAACCATTCATCACAACCATTTAAACAAAAGAAACTTCTAGTGTTTGTTCAATGATCAATTATTGTTTGTTCATGTAGTTGTATTAATCTAGGAATTAGAAGGGATTCAATTTCTTGTGGTTTATTGCATAGTAGTGCACCACCATCATCATCAGTGTTACGATTATTATTCGATAAATTTATATGTTCAACTATTATATCTTCTTGTTGATGTTTCTTGTATACTAACCAAACTTCTTGTGATCTAGTTTGTAAGAGATTAGCAACAATCACATTCGGATCATACAATTCAAGTGATTGTTTTGCTTTGATCAATAATTGTTGATGATCTGTTTCAAGCTAAATATAAATAAGAAATAAATACAAAGAGAATATTATTAGTTCGAATGGTTTTTATGTAAGAAATGATCAATGATCTTTTGCATAATAATACTGTGGTGCGCGCTACTTATAAGTAGTATATGACGTGAGTGTCAACGTAATGTCTGGCAGCAGATGGGGGAAGATCAAGAAAGGAAGAAGAGTGGGAACACAATGGAATTTGTATGAAACGCATGAATAGTGAAATGTTAGACAATGGATTGAAGATTTGCAAATTAACCGTTTACGATATGATTTTCCTATTTTACTGAGTAACTCTGTAATTTTCGTTAAATACAATCCGGTTGCCCTCACCTGTGTTCTCCTACACTACAATACTAGTTAGGATAGTTTTATGATACCAATCACAGTTATGAGATAGTTGGGATATGTGTTACGGAATGTCCAATCGCCAACTGCCTCGACGAGCGATGTTTTGTGGTGTAGGGGGTAGGCTGGAACAAATCTAGGGGCGGCCAAAACAAAAGATGTCTCAAATCTATGAAGTAATTGACAGCTGAACTACCCCATGGTTGTAGGTGTCGACTAACTGGTTGAGGTCTTCGAGACGAAAGTAACCGATGGTTAGAGACCTTGAACGACATGGCTCAAACCGTTGGCGTTGGCACTGGTGCATCCACTCTTCGTGTTCCTACAAATCCTATTCCTCTGGATTCTTCATCAACATTATATTTTTCTTTTTAAGTTTATTTCACTATATTCTACTTGAATAATATTCTCGAACACTAATCTACCCGATTACTGCTAGTACTTAAACTACGTGTATTCATATAGGGTTTGAATTGACAGTTGCACCTCTGTGCTAATGTGGTAATGGCAACTTGGACTGATGTACGTACGTACGTACGTACGTACGAAGTTCTACATTTTAACTGACTGAATACTATTTTCACTGTTAGGTTAACAGTCGTATATTACTGTATATATATTTGTCTTTTATTGGTCAGTTTTATTGAAGTGTAGTTGATTTTCTTTATATAAAGCGTAATGAGTTCGGTTAGTGTAAGCTACATTTGTCATTAGTAAACAGGATCTGTAGAGATCGTATTGTTTTCGAAACCCGGAATTACTGGAAGGTCAATGTTAGACTATCGGAAACCTAGGCAGCATTGGATCGCCGCTTCATCCTAATATGAGAGTGTTTAGCAGTGGGTATGTGTCAATCGAATCCAGGACTTTCGGTTTCGCACGCGAACACCTAATCTTTTAGAATACAGTCGGCATCCAACAGTGTGGTAATAGTACCCTCACATTAAAACTGTAAACCTGGAACCGAGTGTTTTAATTTACATTTTCATTGCAATATCTTCCAATACAATAAGTATGTATGTCACCCCTTAATAGAGCATGGGCCAGGACTCTACAACCAAAATACAATAGAACACTTCAAATTTTCTACACCATCTCTGTACACATCATTGTTAATCAGAACCATGTGATATTTATTATATACAAAATTAGTACAAATGAAATTTTGAACAATCTAATAGTAGTAAGTACATTTGTATTCAACTATACGTATTTGTTGGCAATAAACTTCACATTTGAAAAATAATTGAACTATATCACTATATTACTAGTATTCGATCATAGATGTTTAGGAAGCATTTCTCGTATATCGTGGGACAACCGAGTAAGCAATGCTATCGTTAGGAAACGAGTACTAGGTAGGGATTGCAGACCAATAGATGAAGTATTGAAACTTCATCAGTTGAGGTGGTTGGGAAATGTGTTACGTATGCCTAACCACCGACTGCCTTGACAAGCTATGTTTTGTGGTGTAGGGGGGAGGCTGGAAGAAATCTAAGGGCAGCCAAAACAAAACAGGTCACAAATCCATGAAGTCACTGACAAGTAGACTGAGTCATGTTGGTAGATGTAGGCTATCTGGTTAGGGTCCACGAGACGAAAGTCATCAATGGTTAGAGACCTTGAACGGCATGGTTCAAAATCGTTTGCAATGGCGCAAGTGCATCCATTCGTTGTGTTCTCTCAAATCCTAATCTTCTTGATTCGTCAGCACCTCTACCTTTGTCTTTCTAACCTTATCTCACTGAATTATACTTCATGAATAATATCTTCAAACCCTAGTCTTCTTCATTACCATTAATACCTCTACTATTTTTATCACTATGGGATTTGATTTGACATTTGCGTCTCTGTGCTGTGGTATGTCAACATGAACTTATGTACACACGTACGAAGTTCTACGTTGCAACTGACTGACTGATATCACTATATCTACAATTTATTCATAACTTAAGCAATATTGTATGTAAACAACTGCATCCTATTCCATCCATTCACATATACGTGTACTATCGACATATTAGATAGAACAAATCATAATGATTTTGCAAATTAGATCGGGTTAATAATATACATGTACTATAAAATAATAATAGAGTTGGTGGAATAGTAGATGATAAAAGCACCACACTACCCCATCAGCTTTATGTATTCATTCATAGAGTACAATTTGACACTGACACTAAAACCTCTTATTACTAATATATATATATATATATATATATATATATATATATATATATATATATATATATATATATATATATCAGTCAGTCATTTGCAACGTAGAACTTCGTACGTATGTACATAAGTTCATGTTGCCGTACCACATTAGCACAGAGACGCAAATGTCAAATCAAATCCCATAGTGATAAAGATAGTAGAGGTATTAATGGTAATGAAGAAGACTAGGGTTTGAAGATATTATTCAAGAAGTATAATTCAGTGAGATAAGGTTAGAAAGACAAAGGTAGAGGTGTTGACGAATCCAGAAGTTTAGGATTTGAGAGAGCACAATGAATGGATGCACTTGCGCTAGTGCAAACGATTTTTAAGCCATGTCGTTCAAGGTCTCTAATGATTGGTGACTTTCGTCTCGCTGACCCCAACCAGGTAGTCTACATCTACCAACATGACTCAATCCATTTGTCAGTGACTTCATGGATTTCTGCCATGTTTTGGTCTGGCCGCCCCTATATATATATATATATAGTGTAATGTGGTGACTTATACTAACTACTATATTGCATTACTTAAAATCATTGCTTTCTATCTATTCCAACTGATCTAGTTCATCTTTTCATATTACTAATATTTTTATTATCATCATATAACAATAACTTCCTTCACAGGTGATTGATTGATTGATATGAATTGTGATCACAGAGAGAGTACTTTAAAATTTTTAAACAAAAAAAAAGTCTATTCCATTCATTATTACCTTTTTTGTTAGAGGATTAAAGAAACATTGAATTTGTTTGTTAATGATACATAGTCATAGGAATGGATTGCACTTAATTCATTCTTATGACTGTTATATACTATTTATTTTATAGGCTAACAACAAAATCACATTGACTGAATCTAATAAGTGTGATAATCATGTGTGTAATGTAAGTAATGCTGATGATAATTATTTTTCAAACCCATTGAAAAATGAATGTGATTGGATTTTTTTTTTTGCTTCAACTGTTTGATCGATTCATGATTTTAAATGTGTAACTTAACAAACAATCTTCACAATTCCGTTATGCAGTTAGTGGTTACCTGTGCTCACTAAGTGACTAGCTCCATGAGGAATCATCTCCGAGTTTCTTTTAGTGGGAAGTTGTGACCAGTGAAGTTCAACCTGTTTGGGTGTACAAAGTAACTACCGAAGAAGACAGTGTATGAGGTTGCGCATCTCTGTGAATTGATTGAAAGTTGCACATTAACACCGTTAGATACCGGCTCAGAGGTTAGGCATTCGCGTGCAAGGCCGTAGGTCCTGCGTTTGAATCCTGCGAAGTGCAGGAGTCGTGGATGCGCACTTCCGATGAGTCACATACTAGGACGGAACGGCCGTCCAGTGCTTCCAGGTTTCTAATGGTGGTCTAACATTGATCGATTCATGATTTCAGTTGTTTGAAGATATGCAATTTGGTTGTTGATATTTAAAGTTAGGAAGGCTTAGTTCGTAAGGTAATTGAATGAATATTTTGATATTGGGGCGAATCTCTAAGTTGTGATAGAGTTTCGTTCTCTGAGCTGGATGTTTTGATTGTGGAGCTTTCATTGTTCTTCTGAACAACATCATCAGCACAAACTTCAAATAGAAATGTCTAACTATGGACATACGGTCGATTGGAACAATGTTGAAATACTGGATAAGGGGAGCACAAAGAACACTAGAGAATTTTTAAAAGCTTGGCACTCAGTTCAATCAACAAACACATCAACATTGATCTGATTTATCAACCGATCAGAAAAATCATAGACGAACGTAGGGTCAGGAAATAGATCAAAAAGGAGATACAATGAAAACATGCTCAAACAACGATAAGTTTTTAAGGTCAGTAACGACCAGTCACGATCGAGGTTAACAATGCAAGCTACAGGTCGGTCACACGTGGAGAAATTCGAATACTTCACTTCCAGCTCAGAGAACGGAACTCCAGTACAATCATCCATCTGAGCTACAAATTTTCTCCACCATCTCATCACGAGAAAATCAGTGCAACATTACTTCTAATCATTTGT